GGGGGGGTGCAGAACGAAAAAAGCCCAATGTACTATGTACCTCTCTACGTTGATCTGTAGTACAGTCTTCCCACTGCTCCTCTCTCTCCCCACCCCTCCCCATGTGTTTTCGTATCCACGAGCCCCATGAGGGTCAACACAGCGGCGCAGCCTATCGAGCATATATCGTACCACTTTGGGCGTCCATAAAACATGAATTCGTAGAATTCCTCTCTGACTCTGACGGTACCTCCTATTGTTCTCTGGCATCCTTTTTTTTAATGTGTGCGTCCGTTTGTTTATATAATTGTGATAAGTTATTTTTGCACAGTCTCATTTTCTGTTATAATACTCTCTCATCCTTTTCACCGTGTTTGTCCCCCCTCCCCTCTCTCTCTCTCTCTCTCTCTCTCTCTCTCTCTCTCTCTCTAAACTCTCGTAGTAAGAAATGTCTTGCAAATGTAACTACATAGCTGTCGTTTCAAGCGCAGAACTGATCCAGCTGATTATTCATCTCGTAAACTTTCTTACTTTCGTCAAAAAGACACCCTGTCCTAGCTCTGTGATGGGATGAAGGGCCCCACTTGTCTTTTCTGCTTTTTTGGTTTTTTTTCCATTTCCTTTCGTTGTATGTGTTTGTCTTGATTTTTCATCATCGTGTTTATGAGCTTTTATTATTCGCACGCTAACCCAGTCCCCAATTGCTGATGGAACATAATAAGAAACGTGGTATTCTATTACCCATTTCTGTTCAGAGACATTGAATGAAATTGTAATTCGCCTTTTAAAGAGTATCATTGTTTATGTTCTTATAACCTTCGTTCTGACCTTGATTTCGCTTGTGGGTTAGAAGACGTTAAGGACGTTGTTCGTTTTAAATTACGGGAATGTGTAACACTTGTCACGGGGTTTTCTGGCTTGAGTTTTAAGGCTTGCGCGTTATGTTGCACAGAAACTAGAAAGAGAGCGGATAATATTTCGTGTTTGAAGGACGTAAGAGATTGTTTCGTTATTCAGACACCACCCTCACCCACCCCCTTCCTACCCCAACGCATAAAACACACAGACACCACCATACTCCCTTTGTTAAGGTAAAGGGAAAAGACGTAGTTTGAAAATACAAAAAATGTACATATAAGAAATAGAGGAGCAGATCGTTAACCGACGAAATGCTTTTCTTTCCTGTGGGAAGTACGTTGGCGTTCACTTACCACTAAATAACACGAGCTATCCGTTCCGTTAGAGCCGACAGTCGAGAGCGGTTTTATAAATGCCCTGACCGTTTGTCCTCTCTTTTATTTTTGGCATTTGCAAGAGCAGCCCTTGACGCAGCGGCGTTCGGAAGTTTCCAATTTGGTCGGCTGGAGGTCGGTCTGTCTCGCAAGACTAATGAAGGAAAAGAGCAATTTAGCCACTTGACTCGGTTTACCGCCTGCACTGGGCGTTTCCTCAGGCTTACACCTTCGTAAAGATATTTTCAGGCCAGTCCAATAAAAAAAACAACAACCCATCTCGCTTTGTATGCTGTGGTCGAGTGTTCATTGTTGAATGTACACCCCCCCCCC